GAGAGAGTGAGAGAGTGGAGGGAGAGAGAGACACAGAGGAGGATGAGAGAGAGAGAGAGAGAGAGAGAGAGAGAGAGAGAGAGAACACTCTTCTCCACCGCCCACTTCAAAGATGAACTAGAGAGCAGGGGAGTTCCTTCTATTGCAGATGCTGAGTGGTCTCTGCCAATGCTGGTGCCTCTTGCTTCCTGAGATCAGAGGTGCCTGCATAATGCCCAGGTCTGGCCAGTGATGCTTAGAGCAGACTCTTGAGGATAAAGAATCCTTGATATGTATAAAGCATCTCTCCATTTTATCTCCTTTGATTCTCACAACCCCATTCTGACCCATATAGAGTGATTAGGTGACTTGCCTGTTACATAGCCAGTGAGTGGTTCCCACAGTGACCCTCCTCTCCCACCCCTGCAGAGCTGGCCTGTGAGCCTGTACAAGTGGAGATGTGCATCGGGTTGAGCTACAACACCACGGCCTTCCCTAACATCTGGGTGGGCATGGCCACCCAGGAGGAAGTGGTGGAGGTCCTCAGAGGTTACAAGGTGCTCTGAGCAGAGATAAGGAGGGGCCCCCAGGAAAGGGAGGGAGCCTGGGAGTGGGTGCCTGAGGGCTGATTTCCTTCCACAGAGCCTGACAAGTCTGCCCTGCTACCAGAATTTCCGGAGGCTCCTCTGTGGGCTGCTGGTGCCCCACTGCACCCCACTAGGCAGTGTTCTTCCCCCTTGCCGCTCTGTCTGCCAGGACACAGAGCACCAGTGCCAGTCTGGCCTGGCACTACTGGGTACCCCTTGGCCCTTCAATTGCAACAGGCTGCCTGAGGCAGCTGGTCTGGAGGCTTGCGCCCAGCCCTGACCCTGAAGTGGACCCCTGCCCTCTGCCTGCCCATCTCCTTTGTCTATCAGGGCAGGCAGGCAGGTAAACAAAGGAAGGGGGACCAGCATGGGATTCTGCCCATCCTTTTTGAGGCCTCCTAGGGAGGGGAGAAGAAGTCCTCAATTGGGATAATGAGACTCTCCCACTCTCTCTCCCAGTTCCTTCCATGTCCCTTTACTAGCCCCAAACAGCAGGCCTGGCTCCCCACAGTGCCATTAGCAATCTAAACAACTTCCCACCCAAGCCCCTGACCCCCATTTCCTATCTTCTGCCTTCCCCCCTCTCCATCTGCTTTTCCAGATTCTCTATTACCCACCTTCTGACTTTTTCCTTTATTCAATAAAACGTATTGAGTACCTGGTAATGTGGCAGGCCCTGTTCTAAGCCCTGGGAATTCAGTTGTCTATCTGCCTCTGAAAACTCTCCATCCGCAGCTCTCAGCTTATATTTCTCCTGGACTGGAGTCTTGTCCTTGGTCTCTTTGTCACTGCACTATCTCTCCTTCCAGCACCTTTGAGGAAGACGTGCCCTTAGTGGCTGTCTCACGGTTTTGTCTCTGTGTCCGGCTCAAGTCTCTCTCTCCCGCCCCTTCCCCCCAAAGTTTGGCCGGCTGCCGGGCGACACCACGAGTTATTTCCCTATTTCCCGGCCCGGAGCTCTTGGCCCCTGAACAACTGGTTTCCTCTTGGAGTCTGGGAGGAGCTGAGCGGAGCCGGCAGAGAGTGAACCAGGACCGGGGGATGGCGAGGGCAGGGGGCGCCTGGCTGGAGAGAAGCGCAGGGGCGGGGACAAGGGTCAACTGGAGGGTCCGCAGTATCAAGCGCCAAGAAGGAGGCCATAGAGCGAGCGAGCCGCCTCGGGAGCCGGGAGGGGGGTGAGTCTGATGGAGGATGGGGGAGGGGACTGTGGGAAAGACTGGGCACGGGCCGGGGTGGTGGGGGAGGGAAGGGGCCGGCCTCTCCCTTCCCACTCGGCTGTGCTTTCAGGGTTCTCGGATCTAGGGGCACCCCTTCTAAGTCCCCCCCGCGGTCGCTCAGCTCCAGGGCCATGGCAGTGGGGTTGGGACCCACTCGGCCGCGTTGGGGGTAGGGAGCGAGGCAGGCCCCAGGATTCTGGGACCCGACTCCTGTCCTGCCTGGCCCACAGACTACGAGAGCCCGGTATTCCGGCTCCGCGTGCCAGAGCCATGAGGCCGCTCCTCGCCTTGCTGCTCCTGGGCCTGGCGGCCGGCTCACCCCCACTGGACGACAACAAGATCCCCAGCCTGTGCCCGGGGCACCCTGGCCTTCCAGGCACGCCGGGCCACCACGGCAGCCAGGGCCTGCCAGGCCGTGACGGCCGCGACGGCCGAGACGGCGCGCCCGGGGCTCCCGGAGAGAAAGGCGAGGGCGGGAGGCCGGGTAAGAAGGTCACAGGGATGTCGGAGCTGGCGCGGCCCCTGCTCCAGCTCTGTGGGGCGGGAGAGCCCAGCACAGAGCTGCAGATTCCCGCCAGGGGGCGCCGCTCCCGTCCCGCCCATTCCCACTCTGCCCTGGGAGGGGACAGGAGAGAGTGACTCAGCCCGCGGGGCCAGAACTCCTGGGACCCTTTTTGACTAGCCTGTCAGATCTGCCCCAGCCCTGCAGGACGCGGGGAAGGGGTGGGAGGCCCTGGTGCTCAGGGCGGCACTAGCCGGGCCCCCGCAGTGGCGACTGGGGAGTTTAGAGAGGATGGGGAGGCTGCTTAGAGTCGCCCTCTGCGCACCCCATTGCAGGCGAACAGGGCGCTACACTCACCCGAACCATTCCCCTTACCCCCCCGCAGGACTACCGGGTCCCCGTGGGGACCCAGGACCGCGAGGAGAGGCGGGCCCTGTGGGGGCGACCGGGCCTGCAGGGGAGTGCTCCGTGCCTCCGCGCTCCGCCTTCAGCGCCAAGCGCTCCGAGAGCCGGGTGCCTCCGCCGTCGGACGCGCCCCTACCCTTTGACCGGGTGATGGTGAACGAGCAGGGTCATTACGACGCCACCACCGGCAAGTTCACCTGCCAGGTGCCGGGGGTCTACTACTTCGCGGTCCACGCCACCGTCTACCGGGCTAGCCTGCAGTTTGATCTGGTCAAGAACGGCGAGTCCATCGCCTCTTTCTTCCAGTTTTTTGGGGGGTGGCCTAAGCCAGCCTCGCTCTCCGGAGGCACTATGGTGAGGCTGGAGCCTGAGGACCAGGTGTGGGTGCAGGTGGGCGTGGGTGATTACATTGGCATCTATGCCAGCATCAAGACGGACAGCACCTTCTCTGGATTTCTGGTATATTCTGACTGGCACAGCTCCCCTGTCTTCGCTTGATGCCCCCTGGAAAGTGAGCTCATGTTTTCTCACTCCTAGGAGAGGAGGGTGTGACACTGATAGCCACATCATCCAGGAAGGCTGGCCCCCCTGGAATGCTGTGAATGACTCCGGAGGGAGGGTGAGGGCCTGCCTGTCCTGCTGCTAGCAGGGACTGGGGACGGAGGCTGTCTAAGATCAAGGCTGGCAGCATGGGGCACTGGTTGGATTTCTGTCCAAGACCAAAGGAGTGCGTTGTGCAGCCAGGTGTAGGCCCTCTGACCCAGGACCCCAAGGTGGGGTGCTCTCTTTCTGGTCCTGTTTCTCTGGGCCTTCCCTTTCCCCTCCTGCTCTTGGGCCCTTTTCTTAGAAATCATTCAATAAATCTAAAAAACCCTCCTCCTGGCTCAGCCTTTCTTCTTGAGTGGTGGGGATGCCTTGATTCTGAGGGTGGAGGGAGGGAACAGGGAGAGACGGAAAGGGGAGAAGGGAGGGATCTTGAGCAGGATGAGCTAAGGGGCAGGACATACAGGAAACAGCCCCAAGTGAATGAGAGGCCACCCCACGGAGCTGTCCCTCAGCTGTTAACCAGAGTGCCTGACTGAGGAGGGTGCTCTCCTGGTTTGGGGCTCTGGCCACCTTTTTCTAACTCAAAGATGTCGTATGAACTGGGTAGGGACTACCTTTACCACACACACCCCTGTCCCGATCAACAAAAAGGAGCCATGGATTTTTATCCATGACTGCCCTGGCTGCTTGCTTGGTTCCTAGATGACTGGAAAGCTGTTTTTCTATCCCAATGCCAGGGGAATGGAATGTCCCTGTCTAGAGATAAGTCGTTTCCGAGATGACCACAAGAGGGCGCCCCAGCTCCAGAATGTAGCAATGACCCTGGGTAGCCAGCGTAGTCAATGCGTTCTTGACTTCTAACTAGAGTGGTTAGGGGGAGGGAGGTCTGCCAATAAAATTCCAGATGGGGGTGGAGGAAAAGGGGATCCTCTGCTCCCAGCTCAGAAAGTTTATCTTCTCTCATAAAGTGTTTATTCTCACACTAAACAGAGACTGTTAAGAGCCAAGGCTTCCCTTGCTCAGCTTCCTCTCCAGGATTGGGAGAAGAAAAAGCCCTCCCTCAGGCCTTCCAACTCCAAGGTGGATGTGGGTAACTCTCCCCCACTATGCTGAGCATAGCCTGGGTGGGCTGCGCCACCAAGTCTGAGGCTAACCACAAAGCCCCTGCAAGGCTCCCCTCCTCTGACCTTCAAAAGAGCCCTGGCCCCACCCTGCAAACCAATAACTAACAAACCAGGGCTTTCCAGGTCCACCTTAGCACAGCCTCTCAACACAAAAGAAAGTGGAGGAGCCTCTCAGAGTTTCTTCCTGACCTACCCTTCCCCCCCCCCCACCCCCGCCCTTCCAGAAGGCTGTCCCTGGCATTGTTCTCCTGGATTTAACATACAATTATGGGTAAGTGTTGCCCCTCTCTCCTGCTGGTCCTATGAGGGTAGGTATGACCAATGGGGACTGGGCTGGATAATTGAGCTAGAGACAAGCATCAGAAGTACTGAGCTTCAGCCCCCAGCTCTCCTCCACCAGGTGCCACAGCCATACTATATATAGATCAGGTGTCGGCAAACTGCCGCTCGCGAGCCACATACGGCTCTTTGGGTATGTTCTGTCTCAAAAGTTTGCCGACCGCTGCTGTAGCCCATCACAGCACTACTCTATGCCAAGAGACACAAAAACAAGCCCCAGCTCCTCCAGGGATCAGAGAATACATTGGACTGCAAGCAGCAGGAACCCCAAGTTCCCTACTGAGAAGAGGGGCACCAGAAGAAAAGCTGGGAAGGCTGACTCAAGGGATGAGAATGAGAAAGTTCACACTCCTCTCTACACGGGCTTAATTCTGGCAAAAACAGAAGATAGGGAGGGACTTCCAAAACCCATGCATGTGAAGACACAAATTGGAGGGGATAAAAGCTAATTCAGCCACACCTGGCATGGGTTCACCCCCAAGGCACAGTACTCCCACCCTATCTTCTCCCTTCCCCCACCAAGTTCCCGACAGACCACACTTGTGACTCTAGCAGGACTGGACCCTGCTGTAATGTCAGTTACCCTGACCAACTGCTCACCCTTGCAAAGATGCACACAGAGACTGTCAGAACTGTTAACAGAACTTTATTCACTGGAAACTGGGCCAGACAGATCCCTCAGGGAACTGCATGTCCCTAGGCCCTGGCCCCTACTGTGTTTGGACCCTAGTGATGTGCACAGTCTGCCCTCACCAATGCCATGGAGAGGCAAATAGAAGGGGAATGCCATTTTTCTCTGTGTTGTGGGGAGTGAAAGGGATATGAGTAGAAATCTGGTTCTCTTTCCTGAGGCTCCTAGTGGAGTTAGGGTGCCAGAGGATACATGGTCCCAAAGCCAGGTGCAGACACCCCCCTCACCCCCCCAGCGGTAAACTCTTGATCCCAGCTGTTGGATCATGTTAGGAAGGAGCCTTATAAGATCACGACAGGCAGAAATGGTAGCTCTAAAGGCACCTGAGAGACACTACCCTCAAAACCTACCAAGCAGTAGTTCTGGCTGAAAGTAAAGGTTCAAGATCATTCCAAGGCCCTTGAGTTGCCAAAACACCCAAATGACGCTGATGTGTTGTGGCTGCACAAGCTGGGGAGGCAATGGGGAGGGGGAAGGGAGAAGAGAGGACCTGCAAATCTCCAACAGAAAATCCAGAAGTAGAGAGGGGGAGCCCCAGAAGCTGGCATCTGGGTGGGCCCTGGCAAGCTGGAGGGGAGTCCTTAGCAAACAGTCTCAGGGTTTTGCATAGTGACACACTCACCATCCTCAGAATCACAGGGACCCGCTGGGTAAAGAGAAGCTGTTACCCTGTCCCCACCCAGGTCACAGTCTTCCAGAGCATCCAGTCACAGTGTCCTGGGTGTATAGCTTGGAGGCTTGGCATGACAGCCATGGGAGCAGGAGATTCAGGCCAGGACCCGGAAATCAGGTGTTAATGCTGTCCTAGCACAGGTGGCTGCACAGAGCATGGAGCTGGAGAGGTGGGCAGGCAGGGAGTTTTCAGAGGTAGACATTGAGGGTCTGCAGAATACCCCTGCGGCAGAGTGGACAGTTGCGGTGGTAGATGGGGTGGCGCATCAGGATTTCAGTGCAGGCCTGGCA